CAACAGAGTATATATACATAATACGAAAAACTCTACCAGAACTGTTACAATTAAGGTTCTCAACAAGATGGGCCAAAGGCAAAAACTGCGCGACAACTGTTACCAGGTTCTCCGCCAAAATATGATATCCCAGTTAGTTCACAACTGTTTTTACCTAATTTTAATTTTAATTACCTAATTTAAATAATTTAATCAAGTTAATACCTAATTTTGATATTTTTACGGCAACTATAGATATATATATAAACATATTCCCAGGTTCTCAAAGAAGTATAAGAGTTTATTATATATACTGTCTCTTATACACATCTAGATGTGTATAAGAGACAGATCATTGTCAATATCGTTGAAAATTTTTATTATCATTATTAATAATTAAGATCTAGTATCATTTATCTATCATATATAAGACCTATCAAATTATCATTTATATGATTTATTTATATGCACGTATAATTTATTTATTATAGTAATATTCAGCGTTTAGCATATCTCATGTACGATGTTATCATCTATAATTAGTTCATGTAATAAGTAATTTTTTAATAAATAAGTTTGGCATCCGGCAGGATAATGAACTGCAGCCCCGCTGCTTCCTCAATAATTGTAGGAATTCATTTATTTATTCATTTAATTAATTTATTTAATTAATTTACTTAATTAAACTGCTGCCGTGTTATGTGCTTATTTTCACTTCAATATTCACACTATGCATTATTTCTATATTGTATGCATTACATTATACATTATGCATTATTTCTATATTCTATTGCACAAACACTATGCATTATTTCTATATAATATTTTTATAAACCTATTTTCACTACAATCTTTTTATATGATGTTAGTTTTACTAAAACTGTCATGTAAATCTAGTTTTCAATATTATTTTTTACTTTTTCCGCCTTTTTCTTTTCTTATCTGCTCGCAAAAAAATCTTTTTTTTCGTCAGTTTTCTGGCGGCCGTTTTTTTAATGATCATATTCCTTTAGCAATTTTGTACACTCATGGCAATGAATGCATCATGTTGTCCAAATAATGATGCACTTCCTCGCTCACAGCAGAAAGCAGGCGTGGCACTGATGTGCTCTTTTCCTGGGCTACACTGGGTCAGGATGACTCACACTCGGGCGAAAATTGTCTCGTAATTTGGACAAAATATCACACATTTCTCTTAGTGATATTTTGCTGGCAGACAAGATATCAAAGCACTGATCTTTTTTTTTTGCTGGATTAAAGCCACAGAAGATTAAAAACTCTATCTCAATTTGTACATAGTTTAACATTTCATCAGTATGAATAATAATTAGAACGTAATGATTAATAGAACATATATATAATAATATTAATAATAATAATACCCTCATATCATTGTCTTCATCACCACATCACCCTCATATCATAGTCTTCATCACCACATCACCCTCATATCATTGTCTTCATCACCATATCGCCCTCATATCATTGTCTTCATCACCATATCACCCTCATATCATTGTCTTCATCACCATATCACCCTCATATCATGGCATTCATCATTATTAACTACTATACATTTTATTTGTCGTCACTGTATGACCTCATTTCACTTCACTATTTATGGTGCTACATCATCACTGCGTCACTCATTTATGTTCTCATAATGGTTGATTCACATTAATTAGCTGATTGTGATCACGATTTTCTTCTGATTTATCTTTATTACATGAATTATTGCAGATTGTGAATCGATACTACAAACAGTTTTTTATTTAGGGTGGATTTAAATTTATAAGAAGAATTGATTCAAACCAATTATTAAATTCAATTCAATCATTCTTGGAAAATTATAAACGATTACTCAGGTCACTAACTGCTAAATAACGTGATAGCAAATAAAATGCGAAAAATTTCCACTATAATTTCATTGGAAAAATGATATAGTGAAAATTCTTGGCATATTCTTTGCTATTAAATTCCCGGGTGAAAAAATCTGTAAACAAACATCCGTAGCCTGTCTACACCCGTCGCTGTTCTTCATCAACTGCTTGAGTAAACAAGCAACACTCGTGCGCGTGTTTACTAAACATTTTCCAAAGTTCGTCTTATTTCCTAAACCTGAACGCTGTGAACTGAGGTCACCTGATGTGTGCTAACTCTTTCGCTTTGCTTCTAATGAGCTTCCCGAACTTGTGCTTCTTAATTGGTGTCCAATTCATCATTCCTCATCATCACTTTGTTCCTATTTCTGCCCAATTAACAAACCTTCCTCATTAAGCACTTAATTTGTTCCTATCTCTGCCCAATACCAACCTTCCTCAGAGAAGCTCCCGTCTTAATAATCACTGGAAAAACTGCTAAATTACCCCAATGGAGCGGTCATCACGTCTAATTACCCCAACTGATATTATTTACCTCGACTTGAATTACCCTCAAGGGGTAATTGAACCCACCCCCTTCTTGGTGTACTGTCGCCAGAAGTCCTACGTCATTTGCTTATTCTTTTTCTTCTTATTTAAAGAAGTGCCGGTGAAAATCTGACCGCTAAATTATGGATCTAATTTGCTTCTAAATTAAGCTGAAATTTATCTCTACTTTATGCCTAAATTTCTTTTGGCTTATGACCGAAATTTGCGACGATTTACAGAGAAATTTCTCCCATACTGAGAATGAGAATTGGAAACACGTAGATAAGTTCTCAGCACTGAAATATACACTCTCTAAACAGAAGATATATACAGGCTTCATGCAAAGGCCATAAACGCTCGATAAAGGAAGCTATACAAGGTCGATAAAAGGGGCATACAAGCTCGATAAGGATGTCATTCACTGCAATAAATTAAAAGGCGAAGCGTGTGAAGAGATGCATTGTCTTCCTTGTGAAGGAGGAGATGAAATTTTCTATTTTGGCTAAAGAATTCTCAACACTTAATTAAGATATTAACTTGATTTTAAATAATGAACTTGACTTCTAATAATAAACTCGATTTAAAATAGTGAACTTAACTTAAAATAATGAACATGGCTTGTAATAATAAACCTGACTTAAAATAATGAACTTGACTTTTCTAAGAAGGAAATACCGGGAAACTATATTTGGATTCATTACTTTAGTCACAAATTTTCTAATACATCATTATGTTTTCCCCTTTAGCGCTCTAGTTGGATTCATAAGTTTTTCTTAACTTTTGTAAAACCATTTCTCCGCAGATATTCCGATATCTGTCTGGCCTGGCAGTGAGTCAACTGCTGGCGTGCGTGTCCCTCATCCCAAGCATCCTGCACATAGACAGGGACGCCCTCACGTACGCGTGGGCGTTTTATTACGCACACTTTGAAATTTTGATCGTAAACACGCCCACTGCGAGCTGCGTATACATTCTGGTCGGTCTATCCGTCGACCGATACGTGGCGGCGTGTCGGCCTAGCACCTTCCGCAAGGTATCCACGCCGAAGATGGCTACAGTTCGAATCACATTATCATTGATTCTGCCACTTCTTTTTTACGTACCTCACTGCTTCTTGGCAGAAGCTGTCTGCAACAAACAAGGGACAGGGTGGAATATTAAGTCAAATGGGACGGAAGAGTTGGTAGCGTGGCAAGTGTGGGCTTGGATTGTGGAGTTATGTCATCGACTTCTTCCTTCACTATTCATCGTAATCTTCAACGCAAAAGTTATCCTCAAAGTCCGCAAGGTAAATAAACAATTTCGTGATAAGAATTCAGTAAACAGACAACCATTAAGAGACTCTAAGTTGAGTAAAAAATTTAGCTTGGAGCCATCACACGAACCTATTCAAGAAAAACCAGGAAACCAAGATGGCATCCGTGAACCACCAGACAACCAATATGGCGTCGAAGATCGAACACGTCATTTGTTAGCTGGTAAGGACACCGCAGTGATCGTCAAGGCTCAAGTTGAGGAACATAAAATTCCTTCTAAGGATACTCTACGCTATTCTTCAAAGGACAGCATCAGGAACGTCAAGGGCCACCAGAAACGAGACCAATTAGAGAAAAAATTATCGAACTTGCTCCTCGCCATCATCGTTGTCTTCCTCGTCACGACCTTGCCGGCCGCACTGCTGGCCCTTTCCGACAACAGCGACTCCGACTTCGAGTCTTTCGGTTATGAGGTACGAATCGCAACAATTAAATTTGAGGAGATCTTCTAGGGTGAGTATAAAAATAACATTATTGAAATGTTTATGGGTGAGTATAGGAATAACATTAGTGAAATATTCATGGACTAACTTCCGAAAAACATTAAGATCCAGGTTTTGTTAGCTTATTCAGCGAAGCGGCTGCTCGGCCTGCGGTCAGCTGCTGCAATCCTTGATCCATCCGTATGCGAGAGAGTATATTTGCTCATCGTGACATCTACCACGCCTCGCATGTCTTATCGTGGATACCGTGCTGACCGAAATAGGCATCTTACTACCACCTATCGGGCAGAGCGCGACAACAGTGCGTTCGTCATCACGGGCAATAGGCCGCTGATTAAGCGGCAATCATTTGCCATTAACTCAACGTCTTCAAATACTGATTTTTAGCATCGGCCCGTGTCGGTCCGTAGGTCTCAAAACCTGCTTAGCGTACGTGCTGATCGCCACTGTGCGCAGTGGCAACATTCGTTCGCTGAATTCGTTCATTCAACATCCGTTCGCTGAATAACAAGGTTGATGAGTTTCTTCACATCTGTCGCTCGCGCTTACTAGATGTCTTCCAGACCGAGACCTGGCACGATGCTTACTCGGTTTGCATCGCGCGACTTCGCGCTGAAGGACTCCAGGTAGTCGAGCGCTCGCAGCCCCGCAAAACCCGCATGCAACCCGACGCCCTGGCTACGAATAGCGGCGGAGTGGCTACCGTCGCCATTGGGGCGTGCATCTTACCTTTCTTCACATCGGCGCCCGAACCACCACCTATGAGCTGCTGTACTAGGGCCACCTGCGCCTCGTTACGGGCGTTGCAGTCACCATTTATCGTCTTGGATCGGTTGCTGTAGCGCGCGAATTTTTCGTCGAATTGAGCGATGTCTTCACCAGACTCGTGATTTTAGATCTACTGTGAACAAGTCACGAAAAATACAAGAATCGGCGACAGGCCACATCAGGCCTACTCTTCAGCGCCGACATCACTATGTTATGTTATATTTATTATGTCCTTATCACCGGCGATTTGAACATTCGACTGTATCGCGTCGACGACCCATCGGCTCGTCAGCTGAACGGTCTTCTGGCCACCTTTGGCATGGTTTATCACGTAATCTTGCTGACGCACGACATGGGTGGACTGCTGGACGTTGTCATGCATCACGCGTGCTGACCTTCAAAGTCTGAAAGTCGAATATCCGATCGTCGGCTACTTCAGTGGACGGTGTCATGTGTGCGCCCGGTGCCAGCGTACAAAACCGTTACCTGTCGTACGTGGTGCGGTCTCGACGGCGATGTAATAAGCGAAAAATTGCATTCGTACCGACTGTATTGCATTCGACATTGACTATCAGTCAATGACCTAGTGCAACTCCTGTCTCTTATACACATCTAGATGTGTATAAGAGACAGGGATCGGTTGCTGTAGCGCGCGAATTTTTCGTCGAATTGAGCGATGTCTTCACCCTGTCTCTTATACACATCTAGATGTGTATAAGAGACAGTCATTGCTCTGGTCCAATTGTTCTACATTGGTCGTGTGACGAACTTCAATCTTGCGTATTTGAGGAAAGGTCGTGGTTCTCGCAGCACGCCTAAAGAAACCTCTNGTACCCTACGGAACAACTGATATCTAGAAGCGATTTTAAATCTACCGTCCGTAAGGCCAGTCTAGTCAAGAAAAGTACAAGAATCGGCGACAGGCCTATCCAGGCCTATTTATTTAATGCCGAAGATACTATACTAAACTATACTAACATCGGACCTCGTCATTCCATCCACACGTATATCTACCGTCGGCGACAGAACGTTCGGGGTCGCCGACGCCAGTGTATCTGCAACAATTTGCTGGCTTCCTTAATTAACATCGGCTCTTTCGACGCCTAGAAACGGAACTATTTCTTAGAGCCAATGAACAAGTGCTTAGTCATTTGTATCCGTTTTCATATTTTTTTTATTTTTCGCTTGCTATTATGAGTAAAAAACTTATGTGTAAAGTGCCCTCACAGTTCGTTTGAACCAGACGCCACGATAACTAATCTGTATAATAATAGTTAAGGACAGGTTAACGCTACGGACAAGCATACGAACACTTTTTATAACACGTTTCTAGGCAAACTTACAGATAAGATTAATGATATTTTTGCGAGTGAGCATGCGTCCGAGAAACGTGGGCATGCAGTGTAGCGTTGAATGACGAGTAGGGAAATAAACTAGTTAATATGATGAATAGTTAGCTATCGAATAACCGTGCCCTTTTTTTATGTATGAGGAAATTCTTAAAAAAAACTTGCTTACACACGTGGCTATTAGTTGCGTATATTGGTTGCGTCTACTAGGCCAGGCTACAAAAATTTGTGATGCTTGACGTGTTCAGAGGCAACTAGCTGGTTCATTGCAGGCAAGGCAACTAGAGTTGTTTTGAAGCAGTCTATTGCGCTCAGTAGCCGGTCTCTTATACACATCTAGATGTGTATAAGAGACAGATTTCCNGCACGTGAAGGACTGTACAAATATTATTATAGCATGGGTATGGTTTGTGAAAAAATATATGAAGGAAGGGCAAGGTTTGGGAGGAAAGATAGGAAGGAAGGGCAAAGATTGGAGGAAAGATACGAAGGAAGGGCAAAGTTTGGGAGGAAAGATAGGAAGGAAGGGCAAAGTTTTGGAGGAAAGATATGAAAGAAGGGCAAAGTTTGGGAGGAAATATAACCCAGGTACGAGAGAGAAAAGGTAAAACATGACCAGGGACGAAGCAGATATTTGTTGTTACAAGTTTATTTTCTGGGCAGATAAAACGTGCAAGATTTTTTCGAAAAATTATTGTGGAACGTTTATCACTCTGTAATTGGGAATTTGTCTGTAATGCTGACGCTTCTTGGGTTCTTTGTCCGTTACAGAAATTTTTTTACGTTCTTCTTGTCCCACATCCAACCTCCTCTTCTCCCTTATTCTCCATGGGTGTATTTATTTATTATTATATCGCTTTATTTACATGGGTTTATTCATATTTCTTACCCCAAATATCTCTTGCAACTCTCAGTCATAGCAGCAGTCACCCCTGTTGACAGACCCACTATCATTGCAATCCATTAGTCTCCCGTTCTTTCATACATCACACCATAATCCTCATCACTCGCATCTCAAGCTTTTCTCGTGTGCTTCACACTACATCATCACAAAATGTGCATCACACTGCATCATCACACGATCTGCATCGCACTGCATCATCACGCTATCTGCACCACACTGCATCATCAGATCTTTATCAGTTCCCCTCACAACACGCTATCAGCAATCAGCAATCATCATTCATCATTCACTCCTTCACTTCTCCACACTTCACGCATTTCAAATCGTGGCTTAACTTCGAGAATGAATATTTACTCCCAACCCCACGCAGCTCCATTTATTCTTTACGTCATGCAGTGTTGCAACTGATAGTTGAAATTTAATAACATTTTAGTCTTCTGCAACTACGATGTCGTTATGTGTGATTTATTCCATCTTTGCGTCTGAGTATATTTTCTACTGTCATATCACTGGATGTTATGAAAAATCAGTATTTTTCATTCTTTCGAAACTCTCGTGAAAGAATTTCGAAACTCTCGCTAGACCATTTTTCAATTCGGCTTCGTCAGCCATGAACTTCGCAAAATCAATAGCGAACACAACTTATTAATTAACGTTAAAGATTTTTATTCACAGTGCGTGTTATAGAATTTACCGCTATACATAGTTTATTATATATATATATAATAAACTATGTATAGTATAGTCTGTTTGTCCGCTCTGTTTACGTGTAAAATGCTACACGCTTCATGCGGTCGTCAGGCGTATCGATACGCAAAATAGAAACCGATTGCGACGTAGGAAAGATTCTCTTGAGAAAAATTAATAGAATTAGTCTGTTAATTTGACACTGAATAGTCACTATGAATATAATGACAAAATATTAGCGTGTTGAAGCAGGAAATGAGCAAAATGAACGCATTAATTGTTAATGCCGTATAATTTATGGCCCAAATAAAGTAATAAATGGAGTCTGAATTTACGTTTGGTTATAGGTCGAAAAAAATGATGAGTTTTATTGTGCATAAATGCAAAAATAAATTGTTTTAAGTCCAATGTAAACGATGCGTATCAGTTTAGAGAGTTATTATTTCCAGAATGTTGATGTTTTTACAAAAGAAATGTATGGACAACAAAGAGATGTGCATAACGTTCTCAATATTCCCAATCGAGATTCGAGAATCAAGTTTCTGTGTTCGCTGCTCTCGTGAGGTCATTCAACAGAGAAATAAAATTACATAACAGAGACTCATTACTTATATTCTGCTTGTTGCTGAGCAAAAGTCTTTAGACGCACTCCGCACGGCGACTTGCGAAGTCTCTTTCGACTTCCTAGCTACAGCTTTCGTCTCAACTTTCAACTTCCGTAAAGTATCAATATGACGTAATGTTCGTGAAGTCTTTCTATGTGGTCGATCAGTTGCGCATTCGAATCTCAAGAATTGGATTCACATTTGTAAAGTTGTAATTTCTCTATAACTTGACTAAACAAATTCAATTATATACAGGCCTCAGGCTCTGTTAAGGCTTTTAAANATCAGAAAGAAATTACTATATAAAACGCAAGGACTTCTGATGCTTCGAACCAACGATTACAGTTCCACGATTAGAGTTGACAAAAACCCTCATTTCACCAAAGTAAACTTTGAGATGAAATACAGAGGAATCAGCCGTTTTAATCGAATTGAAACCATTTCAATAAAGTTATTCAAAGATATAGAAAATTATCAATATAATAATTTAGAATCGTCCCTGACTTTGGGTCGACGTTGGCTGTTGCTTCGTCCATCAGCAAGACGGCGCTGTGAGAGAAGATGGCTCTGGCCAGACATAAGATCGAGCTGCCGCTGCCCTCCGCTCTGTTACTGCCCCCTTTGGAGACTATATTGAACCCCAGCCCTTCAGGGCTCCCCATCACCGCCTCTTTCAGTTGCACCTGCGGGGGTTAGGTTAAATGTTTTCATTAAAGTCCTATCTTTATTCTCATTAAAGAAGTTGAAGCTGCGAGTGTACAGTTTCATGTTAAATTAATTTATTGATAAATGCAGATCAACTACATGGTATATAAAAAAAATTTTCGCTGTTGCTGAGGAAAATCGCAGAAAAAATTTAATATCTATTCATGTTTTGGGTGGCGAAATGGGTTTTTGGCTTCAGCCTTCCGCCGACCATTCCTCCCACGCGACACCATCACCGTAATAAATTCAACATAAATCAATACTAATGAAAAAGGATGTGTCATGTTATCCAAATAGCGACAGACTGCCTTAACCCATAGCTGGCGTTCAACTGATACATTCTTTTGTCAGGCCAAACTAGGCCAGGATGACCCACATAAGCCCCAAAGTCCATTGCTTTTTAAAAAGTATCACTCATTTTGGAACTTCGAATACAAATAGCAGTCGGTAACGTGTGTAGGTTATGAATGATGCACGGCCAGCAGCTATTCATCAGACGTGGAAACGAAAACCACGACAGTGGATAGAGGTTGCGGCCGTTGTGGGAGTGAGGGAACTGATCTTAATATAAAAAATATTCATGAAAGGTCAGACGTGGACATTCTTAGAAAATATAATCAGTATAATTAATGAAATCATCTAACAACTTTTCGATAAAAGAAAAATATTTATATTATATTTATAAGTCATAAGTAAGTATTATTATATACATATAAGTCACTGCTTTATGGCTATGATTATTTAGGAACAAAATTAAGTTGATGATATACGTGCGGGTACGACAACCCAGGCGTATATGCAGAAATTTTCCACGAAGAACAAATTCATGCGATGAAATTTGCGTTCCTCCAAGGGCAAAATATTTTAACATGCAACATTTACAAACCAACATTAATGTTTCTAAACGAGTTAAGTAATTAACTTCATATTAATAATAGAATATCAGCGACGATTTCATTAAAATACCATTTCAGTGCGAATAGAAAGTGGTACATTTACTTGGTGTCCAAGACATTTCCCCTCACCTCTTTGAGCACGAGGATGATATCAGCCGCGCGGATGTACTGCAGCTGGTGGGTGACGAGGATGACGGTCTTGTAGCGCTGGTGGCCACGGATGCAGCGGCTGAAAAGATGGCGACCCACGACGGCATCCACTGCGCTCAGCGGGTCATCTAACAGCACCACGTTGCTCCCCATGTACACCGATCTAGTGAACAAACGCAGGGAATTTTTCTCCGTTACTTTCATAGTACTCTGCTTTAACTACTCTGCATCTCAGAGCTGCGAAGTTTCAGTTCTCCGATACCGGCAGGTCGCTGTAAAATCTGAGCTCACGCGTTAAATCGATCGTCACCAAGCCTTGGTCCCGTGATCACTTCAACGACATATATGTGGCTAGCACGTCCCAGGCCAGGCCACACGAATACTGTTCTTTAGGCAAGGGGCGGCTTTCAGGTGGCCGTTGAACAGCCAGTGGGCAGCATGCTCTGGCCGGCCGCTGGCCACTCAAGGTCCGCGGAGGAGAGAGAGGAGCTGAAACTACTTGTTAGCGCGGGGTCATTAATTCATGAACTTTGTGGTTCCCTCATGAACCGCTGGGCATGTCTTGACAACTGCAATGCTCTATACTGGAAGCAGAAATTGTGCCTTAATCTACGGAATTTTTACTTCTTATTTGGTTTTTTTCTCGTATCTTCGATGGAAATTTTTATTTATAAAATATGGTACACCGAACGGTGGAATATAAAATATAAATCACGTTTGCGTCGCAAAAATAGTCAGATTGTCGCACACTTCATGAATACCGGTGGGCCAAATTAACCTTCTTAATAGCAGTTTTAATATAAAGTTCAAATAAATTTTCTCCATGCACAAACTTGGCAACTAAATAGCTGGAAAATCATTCGAATTTGCAGACCGATCGATATCTTATTTGCGATTAGATTTGCAGCCACTGAACCTATAGTGAAGAACTCCCATAGGTAAAAACTCGGTGAACATCGGCTGATGCAGCGTCTTCACAATTCATTATTGGTACTCTTATCTAGAATACATGAATTTAAAAAGAAAAGAATTTTTCTACAAATTAAGAAACTGTTTTTACTTGAAGTTTTTTTTTGTATCGCGATCAAAAAATAACTTTATCTAATCCACATGTCTTTAAGTCAGAAATAATTATTATGGCATTAGAAGCGATCTGACTAAGTTATTATAAATCTCAAGAAATCTCTATCCCGAGCAACAAATATAATCTGCTACCTTAATAATGAATATGAATAAATAAATATTTTGTCAAATTATCTGGGCAGTTCCCCCAGAATGGCAAGCAGCAGAGAACTCTGCGCAGCAACAACGACAATGTACGATAACGGGATGAAGTGCACGCAGTTTGAGAGCGTACGATAACGGGATGAAGTGCACGCAGTTTGAGAGCGTACGATAACGGGATGAAGTGTACGCAGTTTGAGAGCGTACGATAACGGGATGAAGTGTACGCAGTTTGAGAGAGTACGATAACGGGGTGAAGTGTACGCAGTTCTAGAGCGTACGATAATGTGTTGAAGTGCACGCAGTTTGAGAGCGTACGATAACGGGGTGAAGTATACGCTTTTCATATGCAATTCTTTGGTTGCGAGAGTTACTTTCAGCGCAGCAAATATTTTCACGCAGCTGCAGCATCAATATCAAGTTCATGCGGCGAATTGGCGCGAAAATGTCGTGCTGTGAGCGCTGCACTTTTTTCAGACAGATGTTACTCTGAGCACAAGTGTTCCACATCATCGATACCATCATAAGTATGAACTTATAATGGACTCCACCGAATAGAAACTCCGAATTTGAAAGCAGCTAGATGAAGCAAGCAGCAGTAAGGATTTTGACTAGATGAAGTTGTGCAATACTATATATTTAGACTAGAAGTGTCTCCAACATCACTAATTCACGGCTGTTCAGTAGCTACTTAACTTCAACGTCAGTTTTGCATAGATCTGGTCAAAAGTCCTCATATCTACAGTATACAAGTTAAGAGCATTATAAGGCGACAGGCTTTTAATTCGGCCTATTCTCCAACGCCAATACCACCATTAGCACGGCTCCAGTTATCATGTTCAGAGTTTCGTTCGACCAAACAAGAACGCCGGACATTGTCGCGGTTGATTCAGCTTGAGAACCGAGTAGGCGCACTACGCTGAGGACTTTTCATTCACTTCCATGGATGTAAGCATGAATGACCGTATACTCAAATAAATGAATGGGTCATGTTGTCCAAACAGTGACGCATTTGCTGCGTGTAGCTCTGATGCGTCATTTTTCCAGTCCAAACTGAGTCGAAGCGACCCACATAGAGGCAAAAGTGTATCACTATTGGGAGAAGTTTCATTAATTTCTTTGACTGTCTAATTCTCAATGTATATGATCATTCGTTGTACATATGTATGTTTATGATCATTCTAAATTCGTTGCGTTAATAAACGATCCGCTAGAAGCTGTGTTATAGCGTGTGCTCGATGTATGCTGACAACACAAACATTTACAAAAAAGTGAAGAATACGTCGCAAAAAGTACAGTTACAAGGTGATCTTGACAGGCTGGTTGACAGGGCTGATAAGTGGCAGCTGCGTTTTAAAACGCTGACAAATGTAAAGTTATCCACCTTGGCATGAACAATGAACAGCAAGATTACAATATGAGAAGACACGGTTGCAACGACAGAGTGATAGAATAGAATAGAATAGAAGTGTCGGCATTGAAGAAATAGGCCCATGGCCTGTTGCCGATTCTTGAACTTTTCGTGACTTGATTCACAAGGGATCCGGCCTTTGGAACCCGATCTTTCCATAACTGACGATTGATTGAGATAGCTGCTGGACTTATTACTTCTTCCCCCCACACTTACCCCGACTCTCCACCATTGTCGCATGGCTAACTGGAGGCTTTTCTCGCAGACCTTTGATGCTTATCCGAATTAGGTTAGGTTAGGTTGCAACTCGTATAAATCCTCTTTTCATAACGTAATGCAGTGGAGCGAGCAGAAACTAAGAAAAGCCATCCGGCAGTCGGTGAAAAAAGGCGGGGAGACGGGGTAAGCGTGGAGGTAGAGTTATGCCGGGGGAAAACAGCTGCGACGAACGGACGGGCTGGAGTGCTGGCTGTGTATCAACAGCGGTATGGCGCAGGGAGTTGCTTACCGAAAATCGTGACGATGTTAGACGGCATGGGATAGAGCTGTTGGGCGGTTTTAAATACGGCGTGGAGCGATTGTATTGGTGGCTTACTTCTCATTAGCTGGCTGGTTAATTTCCATGAAAGGGATTCGTACCTTTGGCTTTTAACGTATATTCCCTTAGACTACTCTTCCCTTTAGCACGCTTACGTACGGAAAGGAGGATTGAAAGATATGCTGGTCTTGGGCAATGCTGGCCTCTGGCATGCATCCCTTCTATATTGTGTCTGACGTAAATATGTTATGTGGTATTCAGATTACCAGTATTTTAATAATGCAGTTTTACGTTGTTAAACTGGAACGGCGGAAAGCCTATAACTTTGGGTTAATAACAAATTTCCCAACAAGATTTTTTTTAATCATTTGTCTGTTTTTCAGATTTTTCGTGGTGTGGCCAATATGACAGAGCTCGTTGGTTTCTCAGCGAATTTCGTCCTCTACTTCATCTTCGTGAGCGAATTTCAAGATTGGCTGCAGGCGGCATGCATTGGCAGAGCTCGTCGGCGGCTCCATCTGTCGGAGCCAAAGCCACCTGAGGCGAACGAAGATGAACGTCTGGCTTTCAGTACTGTAATGCATTGAATTATTATAGCATTAATTATTAGTTTTTACGAAAAAAATCTTCATTAATCATGTACGAAATGCGGCTGATATATAATTATCTTGGAATGGAAAGTTGAAAATAAATTCACGCACGTGAAGGACTGTACAAATATTATTGTAGCATGGGTA